ATTTTCGCTTGACTACATGCACTTAGCTTGTTTAGGAGTCATGAAAAAATTAATCAATCTATGGATGACAAATGGTCCGGCAAATGTACGTCTATCAAGTTTGAAAGTCAAAAAATTATCTTCTTCTCTAAATAAAATTCACAACTGTATAACAAATGATTTTGTTCGCAAACCAAGAGGAATTGAAGAATATCCTAGATATAAGGCAACAGAACTTAGGCAATTGCTCCTATATACAGGGCCAGTAGCTTTAAAAGATATCTTATCTGATGAATGCTATCAACATTTCATGACACTAAATGTGGCAATGAGAATTCTTTTAAGTACTGATCATTCTAAATATGTAGGTTATGCCGCCAAACTCCTGGATTATTTTGTGAAAACATTTGAACAAATTTATGGCTCCCACTTTGTGTCGCATAATGTACATAGCTTACTACATGTAGCTGATGATTATGTCAAATATGGACCTCTCGATAACTGTAGCTGTTTTCCTTTCGAGAACTATATGAAAGTTTTAAAGCGAATGATTCGAAAACATGATAAACCATTACAACAAATAATAAAACGTTATGATGAGATCTATATTAATGACAAAATAAAATTTGCAAATCATGATCATAATACATTCACAGTTAAGAAACCAGATTGTTTTATACTGACAACTGAAGGTGAAATAGTACAAATTATTGAAATTTTATCGAATTCTTCAGGTATTGTTGGGAAATCATTTAATAGCAAAAGTGATATGTTTGAAAAACCAATAAAATCATCCAAACTAGATATATATGTTGTTAATAATTTATCTGAAAACTCTAAGCAGTGGCATGTATCAGATATTAAAAAAAAAATTATGATTTTTAATATGGATGGTAAATTGTTGGCTCTGCCAATATTGAAATAAGTATTTATTTTTTTATGTGTGTTTTTTTAAGACTAAATATAGGTATATGGTACATAATTATAATGTTTTTTTTCTTAATTATTCATACAAATTTGTGTTTATAGTTTAAGCTTTTTTAAAATGAGTTATCTAGATAAAATATTATGTATTATCTCATCTCTTTTTAAACTTTTAATATGTATATATAAACGATTTTGTAATTTAAAGTTCTGTATGGTACCAGTAATATACTCATTAATAATAAAAAAGCATTGTACAAATATATATTTTTATATTTATGTAATACTTATGTTTGAGTTTGTAAAAAAAATTGTATTTAATGTTATCTTAGGAATATGTGGAGTGTAGTGTGTTTTACCGAGGACAACACAGTAGCAGCGGTGCCTATATTTTGGTTCCGTGATGGCTATTGTGCGTGGCCAAATAAGTCTATCCGAAAATGTATTGAGCGCCGTATAAATCCAAATGAATTGGAGTTTACACAATTCAGAGCAAAGATTCTACAAACAGATATAGGTGATGATTTATATTTTCATTGTGTAACTGATTTGTAAAATTAAGTTACTATATAATATCTACTAGATATAGTAGGTATAACTATTAGCTTATTAACTAACCTTCAACTGTATGTTTTTTTATAGCTAATCTTTTAGATGCTCGATCAATTGCACAAGATAATTCTGGGGTATCATCTAATGAAAATTATGTCGATGTAAACACAATAAGGATTCAAAAACCAAAATCAATAAAAAAAAAAAATGAACCTCTTCATATTCCAAGTCCTCCTGACCATATTTCTGAAGGTAATATTGAACATTTATATTTATTAATTGTTATTATTGTTAATTTGTATGTACTTTTATATGTCTATAGTCATACATGAGTTTCATTAAAAATTAAAAATGATGGGTACCTATTCATATATAGCTATTTGATTTATAATTTTATAAATTTTTAATTGTATTAATATTTCCAAAATAGATAGATAATCTTTTACTAATTTTCTGGTTTATATAAAGCAAATAAAACTGAACTATATAGTTAACTTAATTAACTATAGTTATAAATAACCAGATGACAATAATAATATTATGTACTAAATATATATAATTATTTATACAAAAATGTTGATTTAGTTGTATATCCAATATAAATTGTTTTTAAGATAGGAAAAAAAAATATTAATATTTTTAATAAGTTAACTTATTTTATAATATCTACTTATAATTGTATTATGTATGACAATAAACACTATAAATACAGTATATACATAATAACTATTATGATAATAGTTTAAAATAATAAGTTGTTCAAGATTTATGAACATATATGTAATATATATATATATATATCTAATATTATATAGATTATAGGTATTGATTTTGTTCTAAATTTCTTATGATCATGTCATGTTTAAAAAAAATGTTGTACTCTACTCAATATAATATAGTATATATTCGTTACTTTCTCTTAACTTACCTATAACCTATTTTACAGGATCTGAAGACTTATTCAATATTAAAGATGATTATGATAAAGATACGTCATACACTATGGCAAGAAATGATTACAATCCAAGTTCTGATGAAGATAATGGTTTATTGAACAATAAAACATTAAAATCAAAATTAAATATTGCAACTCCCCAATTCAAACAAAGTAAGAGGACAACCTCTGAGGAAACTTCTGAAATATCAGGAACAACCAATAAAAAATTGAAAATATTTCATCATAACATTTCCACCAATTCAATTCACCAATCATCAGCACCTGAAGTACACACCAACAAAACATCTACATGCACATCATCAATATCCCCTTCTATCGAACTCGAGACTGATAAAGGTAAAACTAATTTTAACGGTTTCACTGCGGTATAGGTATTATATAATTATACATAGATCATTTTCAAAAATGATTGTAGGTATTGTATGTGGTGTTTTATAATTTCTAAACAATAAATAAAATATTTTACAAAATGAAAAACACCAGCTAAAAAAAAAAAGTAAATTTCATACACATTTTTAGATTTTAAAATAAAAGCAAGTTTTTTTTAATAATAAATCCTTGTTCCAAAATTGTTTGACTTATATTTTAAATAAATTATATAATTTTTAACTAAGTGATTCAGAAATTAAAAATTGAAGTTCCAGAAACGAGAATATGATTGTTTTATTTTTACTTTCATTGATCACTTATTAATAAATAATTAAGAAAAAACCATGCACATTTCTATTTTTTTTTCACCATTATGTTATATTACATATTATGCATATAGATATGACTATGTATGAGTTATATTGTATACATTTACATATGTGGTTATTGTATTTTATAGCATTCAAAAAATTTGTAACCAGAAGCCTAACCAATATTAAGTATGAAATTGAGTCCATTCAAAAAAGACAAGATTCTTTTCGTGAACTAATAGAAACCTACTTTGAAAAATTATCTAATCCATCTACCCATCACCCATCAATCTGGGATTCAGATGTATTTCATGAGATTATCTGCATTGAAAATGATAATGAACTGGAAATAATGGAAGAAAAGCTGATCACGGATAAATCTTATAAAAACCAAGTTGTATGTACCTACTATACATTTATTTATTATAACTGAAATATTATATTATTTGTATTATAATAATAACTGGAATTGAACCAATATTTCAGATTGTATCATTAAATCGACTATTTGGAGATTCCTTATCAGAAACAATTAGAAAAATTATGCAGAAGTTATTTTCTGATAAATTTCTTTCTAAATACTCATACATAGGATTTAAAGGAAAACATCAGTTTTCGACTTTGCAATGTTGTAGCTTAATATTTGGTAAGTCATTTTTAAAGTCCATCTTTTATACTTTATTAGTAAACAAAGCCTTGACGTCTTGTAATTCTGTTGACAGAGTCCATAAATAGGTTGAAAAAATTTCGGGATACTCCATTAAAAGAAATAAAAAAACCAATAGAACTTTGGTTAGCTCAAGCTCCGTCTCGTTTAAAAAAACAAGCTGCTAAAAATATTGGTTCTCCTAGTGACCATTTATAAAATTAACTTTAAATAGTTACCTGCTTAGTTTTCATTATTAATAACTCATCTCCAAACGTAAATATAAAAGTATGTATTAATTATTATTATTTTGTATTTTTTTTTTCTTTTCTCTGTACATTTATTAAATGTGGGGCACACAGCTTATTAAAATTAAAAATTATTTTGAATATAGTCATATATTTTGATTGTATTTATTTTAAATATATATATAATAGTTGGTTTCATAAACAATACAAATCTCTAGTATGGATATTCTTAATATTTTGTATTTTTTTTTCTTTATATTTTATTTATGTATACACATAAATTTATGTGGGACACAGTTTATTAATTAAAATTTATTTTGAATATTTAATTGTATTTATTTCAAATAGATTATTATTTTGTATTTTTTATTTTTACTTTATTATTTTATAACTAACCTAAAACGTAAATATAAAAGTATATATTTATTATTATTTTGTATTTTTTTTTCTTTTCTCTGTGCATATATTTAATGTGGTACACGCAGCTTATTAAAATTAAACATTATTTTGAATATACATAATTTGATTGTATTTATTTAAAATATATAGGTTTCATTAACAACAAAACTCTAATATGAAGATACAAATAAGTATATATATTGTATAATTATTTTTAAAACTCATGTTTACTTTGCATTTCATTTGTGTATAATAAATATAGTGGGGATACATTTTATAGTATGTTTTGTTAAATTATAATATTATTATAATGCACTATAAATAAAAGGAATCACTGAAAATAAAAAAGGCTTGTTTATATAGTAATGTATAGGTGAATAATAATACAAAGTAATGGTGAAATATTTTTACAGTATTATAAATAAGAGCCTATATTATGTAGGTACAATATTGTCGTGATAATATTGTAGAAATAGAAACATTATATATTGTTACAATATATTGGTGAAATATTTTGACAATTTTTAAATAGAGGGATTGTACAATATTGTTATGATAATATTGTAGAAATAAAAACTCATTTATATTGTGACAATATATGAGTAAAATATTCAAGCAATGTTTGATCTTCTGCCAAAAAGTGTACTAATAATATTGTGACAATATTTAAAAATTTTCTGACAACCACGTACAAATGTTCTGATAATAATAACATTTGTCTAGAAATATTCATACAATATTATTTAAATATTATTTTGCCATCTGGGCTAAAAAGGACTGCTATTTTATTTAATTTTAATTTTTTGTTTTTAGTTTTCATTTGTTTTTATACACAATATGTTTTTATTTTATTATATACAACGTCAAAAACGTATTTTATATTTTACTGATTTTAATTATATCATATTAATTATATTATGTTGTTTACGTATCTATACAATAAAAAAATATATGATTATATGTTTAAAATTGTGTAGTTACATAACTTGAATATCAAAATTTGTCGAAAAATAGATTTCCGTTAATAGTTATCCCAAGAGGCCCAAGGTACACTGTAGTGTACTTACCTGTAACCTGCTGAAAAAAAATTCAAAAATTATGAAACTCGCAAAAAAACTTAATTATATCATATTAAACCATATTATGAAGAAAAAAAATTTTTTTTTCAAACAACATTAATTTGGGTCTGAAAGGGTTAAATATACTTCTTTTTCATGCAAGGTGCCACCACTGCGTCGATCAGGTCCTATTTAAGTACACATTGTGCTTTTCTCCGCATTTGGCTTTCCTTCTTCCTTATCCTTTACCGTGTAGGATTTGTGGTGTTTACCGCCTAACCAGTGGCATGAAGTGCACTTATCATCATTGCGTCGAGGCGAAGGGCAATCACGTCGGCTGTGCCCTGTCATTTGACAGTTCCAACAGCGTACCTTGTTAACAATAGGCACTACGCTTTTTTTCTTGTCCACAGACGCGACAGTACCAGCTGTAGCGACGTTGGGCGGCTTGGTGCGTTTGTCGACTTCTCGGACAGTTTTTGGGCGCCACGGAAATTTGTCCATGTAGCTATTTTCCATTTTGAACGCTCTCGTATGCCAATATATCTGCAAGAAGTTCATCTGTGTTCATATGCCTGGCGGCTAAGAGCGTCCGCGATAATTCGTCCGACCACAATTCTATTAATACCTGTTCTTTAGTGTCTGCAAATGAGAGGTTGATTAGTTTGCATCGCCTCATTTCATTGTGAAAGTAGGCGGTGGTCGATTCGCCCTTTATCTGCACTCTGGCTTGCATTTGTGCATATCGTCTAACTTGTGTCCGCCTGAAAAGTCTTGTTGAATAGCGATTCAAAATCTGCCCACGTAGTGATTTCGTCGATATTGCTCAGAAACCAGTCGCGAGCTGCCCCGATCATATGCCGACGGGCCATTTACAACTTCAGGGGCCATTTGTGAAGTTCCGCAGTGGCATTCAGATTATTCAGCTATGCGGTAGCTTCTCCACCGGTTTCACACTCACAGTCGAAATCGCCGACAGTGTAAGATAAGTCCGGCATAATTTGATACTAGTTGTTGATACTCGGCGCTTGTATGACATTGTTGACTAGTAAAGCTAATAATGACTGCAGCGTCGGGTCATTGCCGATCGAGCCAGTGGTCGATCCACCCGACGAACCGTTCGCTTCATCATTCATGACTTTGTCGTTATTAGTTATTACACCCACGAACTCGCGTAATTGCGTTGGTCAACAACAAGCAACAAAATATGACAGGGTATCCACAACAGTGACAACGTTGAGTACGTGATAAGTGATTCCGGTTACCAATAACCGACGGTACCACTGTAGTCGACGAACACTTTATAACGTACGACACTTTACCGAAACGTCGAATAGTTAATGGAGCATAACCTCACTTTTCCGTATTTACAACTTTACGAAAACCACGATACACGCACGTTCACATCCCACTTCTGAAAATTTTAAAGATGGTTGCCTGGTAATTAAACGATTAAATGAACACAACACGATTGATTTGAACGACTAATACATTATTAAAAACAATTCAGTTTACCTGATGTGAAACAGTTACATTAGCATTTAACAAAAATAACAGACTAATTAAGACAGGCGTACTGCGTCCTACGCTACCCGTTACCCGTTGGTTACTAAGGCACATACACTCATAGAGTACTACTTACATTATGTGAGGGAGATCAGTCAGGGTGACCACTGACCACCCTCCCCATAATTTATAACATATTGGAGCTATACATGTCACAAACTATAAAATAAATAAGTACAAACTGCAACTCCACAAATCAAGTTGCGGTTTGTTCATCAATCGTATTATCGTCTAAATTATCCGTCCGTGTAAGTCCGCCAGCACTCTTGAGTGTGTGAGAGGCCACTCAGTCCTTCACATTTTTCCTGCTAACCACCATCACCAGACTCCAGTGACTTTTAAGTTAAATTTAAATATTTTTCTTATTTTGTGTGAGCTCTCTGGTCAGTGCACCAGACCGATTTGACCATAGAGACAGCCCATTACATACACTAACTAACATTATCGTGACTCTCGTATGTTACACGTCCCGCAGTCTTCGTCGTGTACAATGGGGTGCTAATTCGCTGCACTAGTAAGGGGTAGGCAGTTTGGTGGTCGGTTTTCGGATTTTGAGTTTTAAATATAAATATAAAAACTCATTGTTCGTATATCCTTGATTGGTTAGTACATCTTCTCGGGTCCTCACTGTTACGATTATAAACTCCAAACAACGGTTCCGACACCTTGAATGGAGATTAATTAAAGTATTTGTAGTAAAAAGGCTCCGATTTTCGATAATAGCATATTTCTGATGGAAAAGTAAATCTAATTTTTACTTTTGAAAGGTCTAAATTGGAAATTCCCAGTTGTTTTAGATAGTCTTTCAGTTTTTGAAAAAACAAGTTTTGTTTTGTGGTGTAACTCAAAAACTCATAATTATGTTACTCACTATAAATTATATAATATTTATACATATAATTTTCACCAAATATTTATATAAGTATTTTCATCAATGGTAACATTTTTAAAATATCTATTGGACCTATTTGTAGACTTCAGAATTTTTTTTAAATTTAAAAAAAAAATATTTTCGATGAAAACTTTTTCACCTATTAAAACAACTTCAAAATTGAATGCGAGGTTCCTTATGGCGTATAAGTTAAATAAATGACAGTTCAAAAATATTAAAAATATGAGTACATAGGCACAATAATGAAAATTGTTACAAAAAATAAACCATTTTTGTTTCATTCGAACTTAATTTTTAACGAAATACCTAGGGCATTTTAAAAGAAAGTGATAGAGCAATGTCAGAGGAAGAAGCAATAATTCATTGTTTTGTTTGGGGATTATTGATAATACCTACGGTGTAGTATTCGTTGAGAAAGGGATCTTAACATCAGAATATTAATATAATTGAATATTCAATAAGTATATGCTTAGATGGTACAACAGCTCCACCCAAAATTATTTTTCTTGTGCAATGATTTATTATTGAATTAATGATTAGTACATCTATTGAAATCCTCGTCAACTACTGTTCAGAAAATTTGAACTTATCTGACTTTTCCTAAATATAATATTATTCATTTTTATTATGATTATAACTAATGAGTTATAATTTATTTGGGATTTATTGTCAATTTTACTGTTGAAAAACAATATAATGGTACATTTAACTAGTAACCTCGAATTTAATTGCCCTAAAAATATCAAAAAATGCATTAAACTTTAAAAAATGTCCTTTCAAAAATGTTGTTAACCAATAAATGTATTAATTATTATCCATAATAATATACAGAGATAAAATAAAGAATATAAACGGTACTGAATTATTCCCAATGTGTCTTTAATCACGGTCAGACACATCTCCAAAATTTTTGTTTTGGAAAATCGTGAGTTTTGAAGAAGTATCAATTGCTGAGGTCTGGTATATGTGTATCGTAAGTCGTTTGTTTTTCTATATTGACGTCTTTATCCTGGGTTAAGACTTCCTCCTTTACCCATTCCATTGAAAAAGACGAATCGCAGGTTCTTTTGCTTATTTGTGAAAATGATTTCAGCTCTTCTGTTTTGTGTTTCTAAATCTGCTAAAT